GGTTTCCCGGTTTCCCGGTTTCCCCCGGTTTCCCGGTATCCCGGTATCCCGGTTTCCCGGTTTCCCGGTTTCCCGGTTTCCCGGTTTCCCGGTTTCCCGGTTTCCCGGTTCCCGGTATCCCGGTTTCCCGGTTTCCCGGTTTCCCGGTTTCCCGGTTTCCCGGTTTCCCGGTTTCCCGGTTTCCCGGTTTCCCGGTATCCCGGTATCCCGGTATCCCGGTTTCCCGGTTTCCCGGTTTCCCGGTTTCCCGGTTTCCCGGTTTCCCGGTTTCCCGGTTTTCCCGGTTTCCCGGTTTCCCGGTTTCCCGGTTTCCCCGGTTTCCCGGTATCCCGGTTATCCCGGTTTTCCCGGTTTTCCCGGTTTCCCGGTTTCCCGGTTTCCCGGTTTCCCGGTTTCCCGGTTTCCCGGTTTCCCGGTATCCCGGTATCCCGGTATCCCGGTATCCCGGTATCCCGGTATCCCGGTATCCCGGTATCCCGGTATCCCGGTATCCCGGTATCCCGGTTTCCCGGTTTCCGGGATCCCGGTATCCCGGTATCCCGGTATCCCGGTATCCCGGTATCCCGGTTCCCGGTCCCCGGTTCCCCGGTTCCCCGGTTCCCCGGTTCCCCGGTTCCCCGGTTCCCCGGTTCCCCGGTTCCCCGGTTCCCCGGTTCCCCGGTTCCCGGTTCCCCGGTTCCCCGGTTCCCCGGTTCCCCGGTTCCCCGGTTTCCCCGGTTCCCCGGTTCCCCGGTTTCCCCGGTTCCCCGGTTCCCCCGGTTCCCCGGTTCCCCGGTTCCCCGGTTCCCCGGTTCCCCGGTTCCCCGGTTCCCCGGTTCCCCGGTTCCCCGGTTCCCCGGTTCCCCGGTTCCCCGGTTCCCCGGTTCCCCGGTTCCCCGGTTCCCCGGTTCCCCGGTTCCCCGGTTCCCCGGTTCCCCGGTTCCCCGGTTCCCCGGTTCCCCGGTTCCCGGTTCCCCCGGTTCCCCGGTTCCCCGGTTCCCCGGTTCCCCGGTTCCCCGGTTCCCCGGTTCCCCGGTTTCCCCGGTTCCCCGGTTCCCCGGTTCCCCGGTTCCCCGGTTCCCGGTTTCCCCGGTTCCCCGGTTCCCCGGTTCCCCGGTTCCCCGGTTCCCCGGTTCCCCGGTTCCCCGGTTCCCCGGTTCCCCGGTTCCCCGGTTCCCCGGTTCCCCCGGTTCCCCGGTTCCCCGGTTCCCCGGTTCCCCGGTTCCCCGGTTCCCCGGTTCCCCGGTTCCCCGGTTCCCCGGTTTCCCCGGTTCCCCGGTTCCCCGGTTCCCCGGTTCCCCGGTTCCCCGGTTCCCCGGTTCCCCGGTTCCCCGGTTCCCCGGTTCCCCGGTTCCCCGGTTCCCCGGTTCCCCGGTTCCCCGGTTCCCCGGTTCCCCGGTTCCCCGGTTCCCCGGTTCCCCGGTTCCCCGGTTCCCCGGTTCCCCGGTTCCCCCGGTTCCCGGTTCCCGGTTCCCCGGTTCCCCGGTTCCCGGTTCCCCGGTTCCCCGGTTCCCGGTTCCCCGGTTCCCCGGTTCCCCGGTTCCCCGGTTCCCCGGTTCCCCGGTTCCCCGGTTCCCCGGTTCCCGGTTCCCCCGGTTCCCCGGTTCCCCGGTTTCCCCGGTTCCCCGGTTCCCCGGTTCCCCGGTTCCCCGGTTCCCCGGTTCCCCGGTTCCCCGGTTCCCCGGTTCCCGGTTCCCGGTTCCCCGGTTCCCCGGTTCCCCGGTTCCCCGGTTCCCGGTTCCCCGGTTCCCCGGTTCCCCGGTTCCCCGGTTCCCCGGTTCCCCGGTTCCCCGGTTCCCCGGTTCCCCGGTTCCCCGGTTCCCCGGTTCCCCGGTTCCCCGGTTCCCCGGTTCCCCGGTTCCCCGGTTCCCCGGTTCCCCGGTTCCCCGGTTCCCCGGTTCCCCGGTTCCCCGGTTCCCCGGTTCCCCGGTTCCCCGGTTCCCCGGTTCCCCGGTTCCCCGGTTCCCCGGTTCCCCGGTTTCCCCGGTTCCCCGGTTCCCCGGTTCCCCCCGGTTCCCCGGTTCCCCGGTTCCCGGTTCCCCGGTTCCCCGGTTCCCCGGTTCCCCGGTTTCCCCGGTTCCCCGGTTCCCCGGTTCCCCGGTTCCCCGGTTCCCCGGTTCCCCGGTTCCCCGGTTCCCGGTTCCCCGGTTCCCCGGTTCCCCGGTTCCCCGGTTCCCCGGTTCCCCGGTTCCCCGGTTCCCCGGTTCCCCGGTTCCCCGGTTCCCCGGTTCCCCGGTTCCCCGGTTCCCCGGTTCCCCGGTTCCCCGGTTCCCCGGTTCCCCGGTTCCCCGGTTCCCCGGTTCCCCGGTTCCCCGGTTCCCGGTTCCCCGGTTCCCCGGTTCCCCGGTTCCCCGGTTCCCGGTTCCCCGGTTCCCCGGTTCCCCGGTTCCCCGGTTCCCCGGTTCCCCGGTTCCCCGGTTCCCCGGTTCCCCGGTTCCCCGGTTCCCCGGTTCCCCGGTTCCCCGGTTCCCCGGTTCCCCGGTTCCCCGGTTCCCCGGTTCCCCGGTTCCCCGGTTCCCCGGTTCCCCGGTTCCCCGGTTCCCCGGTTCCCCGGTTCCCCGGTTCCCCGGTTCCCCGGTTCCCCGGTTCCCCGGTTCCCGGTCCCCGGTTCCCCGGTTCCCCGGTTCCCCCGGTTCCCCGGTTCCCCGGTTCCCCGGTTCCCCGGTTCCCCGGTTCCCCGGTTCCCCGGTTCCCCGGTTCCCCGGTTCCCCGGTTCCCCGGTTCCCCGGTTCCCCGGTTCCCCGGTTCCCCGGTTCCCCGGTTCCCCGGTTCCCCGGTTCCCCGGTTCCCCGGTTCCCCGGTTCCCCGGTTCCCCGGTTCCCCGGTTCCCCGGTTCCCCGGTTCCCCGGTTCCCCGGTTCCCCGGTTCCCCGGTTCCCCGGTTCCCCGGTTCCCCGGTTCCCCGGTTCCCCGGTTCCCCGGTTTCCCCGGTTCCCCGGTTCCCCGGTTCCCCGGTTCCCCGGTTCCCCGGTTCCCCGGTTCCCCGGTTCCCCGGTTCCCCGGTTCCCCGGTTCCCCGGTTCCCCGGTTCCCCGGTTCCCCGGTTCCCCGGTTCCCCGGTTCCCCGGTTCCCCGGTTCCCCGGTTCCCCGGTTCCCCGGTTCCCCGGTTCCCGGTTCCCCGGTTCCCCGGTTCCCCGGTTCCCCGGTTCCCCGGTTCCCCGGTTCCCCGGTTCCCCGGTTCCCCGGTTCCCCGGTTCCCCGGTTCCCCGGTTCCCCGGTTCCCCGGTTCCCCGGTTCCCCGGTTCCCCGGTTCCCCGGTTCCCCGGTTCCCCGGTTCCCCCGGTTCCCCCGGTTCCCCGGTTCCCCGGTTCCCCGGTTCCCCGGTTCCCCGGTTCCCCGGTTCCCCGGTTCCCCGGTTCCCCGGTTCCCCGGTTCCCCGGTTCCCCGGTTCCCCGGTTCCCCGGTTCCCCGGTTTCCCCGGTTCCCCGGTTCCCCGGTTCCCCGGTTCCCCGGTTCCCCGGTTCCCGTTCCCCGGTTCCCCGGTTCCCCGGTTCCCCCGGTTCCCCGGTTTCCCCGGTCCCCCGGTTCCCCGGTTCCCCGGTTCCCCGGTTCCCCGGTCCCCCGGTTCCCGGTTCCCCGGTTCCCCGGTTCCCCGGTTCCCCGGTTCCCCGGTTCCCCGGTTCCCCGGTTCCCCGGTTCCCCGGTTCCCCGGTTCCCCCGGTTCCCGGTTCCCGCGTTCCCCGGTTCCCCGGTTCCCCGGTTCCCCGGTTCCCCGGTTCCCCGGTTCCCCGGTTCCCCGGTTCCCCGGTTCCCCGGTTCCCCGGTTCCCCGGTTCCCCGGTTCCCCGGTTCCCCGGTTCCCCGGTTCCCCGGTTCCCCGGTTTCCCGGTTCCCCGGTTCCCCGGTTCCCCGGTTCCCCGGTTCCCGGTTCCCCGGTTCCCCGGTTCCCCGGTTCCCCGGTTCCCCGGTTCCCCGGTTCCCCGTTTCCCCGGTTCCCCGGTTCCCCGGTTCCCCGGTTCCCCGGTTCCCCGGTTCCCCGGTTCCCCGGTTCCCCGGTTCCCCGGTTCCCCGGTTCCCCGGTTCCCCGGTTCCCCGGTTCCCCGGTTCCCCGGTTCCCCGGTTCCCCGGTTCCCCGTTCCCCGGTTCCCCGGTTCCCCGGTTCCCCGGTTCCCCGGTTCCCCGGTTCCCCGGTTCCCCGGTTCCCCGGTTCCCGGTCCCCGGTTCCCCGGTTCCCCGGTTCCCCGGTTCCCCGGTTCCCCGGTTCCCCGGTTCCCCGGTTCCCCGGTTCCCCGGTTCCCCGGTTCCCCGGTTCCCCGGTTCCCCGGTTCCCCGGTTCCCCGGTTCCCCGGTTCCCCGGTTCCCCGGTATCCCGGTATCCCGGTATCCCGGTATCCCGGTATCCCGGTATCCCGGTTTCCCGGTTTCCCGGTTTCCCGGTTTCCCGGTTTCCCGGTTTCCCGGTTTCCCGGTTTCCCGGTTTCCCGGTTTCCCGGTATCCCGGTATCCCGGTATCCCGGTATCCCGGTATCCCGGTTTCCCGGTTTCCCGGTTTCCCGGTTTCCCGGTTTCCCGGTATCCCGGTATCCCGGTATCCCGGTATCCCGGTATCCCGGTTTCCCGGTTTCCCGGTTTCCCGGTTTCCCGGTTTCCCGGTTTCCCGGTTTCCCGGTTTCCCGGTTTCCCGGTTTCCCGGTTTCCCGGTATCCCGGTATCCCGGTATCCCGGTATCCCGGTATCCCGGTTTCCCGGTTTCCCGGTTTCCCGGTTTCCCGGTTTCCCGGTTTCCCGGTTTCCCGGTTTCCCGGTTTCCCGGTATCCCGGTATCCCGGTTTCCCGGTTTCCCGGTTTCCCGGTTTCCCGGTTTCCCGGTTTCCCGGTTTCCCCGTATCCCGGCTTCCCGGCTTCCCGGCTGCCCGGCTGCCCGGCTGCCCGGTTCCCCGGTTTTCCGGATCCCCGGTTCCACCACTGCTACTTGAGTGCTCATGCTTCGTGGGGGGAGGGGTTGGGCATGGCACCAAGCTGGTGACGGTGATCTCTCCCTCGCTCTGCACGGCTCCTTCCTCCCAGGTCAGTGTCTTGCCAGCTCACCTCTCCCTCTGGCCAGCTCACCTCTCCCTCTGGCCAGCTCACCTCTCCCTCTGGCCAGCTCACCTCTCCCTCTGGCCAGGTCACCTCTCCCTCTGGACAGCTCACCTCTCCCTCTGGCCAGCTCACCTCTCCCTCTGGCCAGCTCACCTCTCCCTCTGGCCAGCTCACCTCTCCCTCTGGCCAGCTCACCTCTCCCTCTGGCCAGCTCACCTCTCCCTCTGGCCAGCTCACCTCTCCCTCTGGCCAGCTCACCTCTCCCTCTGGCCAGCTCACCTCTCCCTCTGGCCAGCTCACCTCTCCCTCTGGCCAGCTCACCTCTCCCTCTGACCAGCTCACCTCTCCCTCTGGCCAGCCCACCTCTCCCTCTGGCCAGCCCACCTCTCCCTCTGGCCAGCCCACCTCTCCCCACCTTTCCCTCCGCCATCAGTTCGGCCGGCCTCTACCTTGTGTTTGTTGGCGGTAGACACTTTTGCCCTCCTACGCTCATCTCGGCCTTCTTGAAACATAAATCCCAATCCTAGTGGCGGAGACGGGCCCGCTGCTGCTCAACGCTGGATCCCATCTGCCATCTCCCCCCCCTTCCCATATTGTCCCTGTCCCTCCCTCCAGTCCCCTCGCCTGACCTCTTCGCCACGCCTGTCACCACCAGTGCTCTGAGTGGCTCTGCTGCACCAGGGCAGATCATAGTGGCAGAGACAAGCCCGCTGCTGCTCAATGCTGGCAGGGCGGCCGTGCGACTGAGCGTCAGCAGCCGATGTGACAGGCCCATTCAGGTGAGGTGCTTGATTTGATGGTGCATGTGCATCGTATCGTATCATATCGTATCGTATCGTATCGTATCGTATCGCATTTTATCAAATCATGCTATATCACATCATATCATGCCATCTCTCCTTGATCTGATCTTCATTGCCCATGAGTTCCACCTTTCAACCCTTAACCCTCAACCTCAAACCCTCAACCCGAAACCCTCAACCCTCATCCGCATAGGTGGGCAGCCACTACCACTTCGTCGAGACCAATCCGCTGCTTTTCTTCGACCGCCAGCTGGCGTACGGTTACCACCTCAACATCCTCCCCGGCACTGCTGTGCGCTTCGAGGTGAGTCATCTCGGCTCACATGCCACCGCGTTACCACGTTACAGTGTTAACATGTTACCACATTACGATGCTGCCGTTCAAGACCCCACCTCTCGTTGCTCTCAAGGCCCTTTCCAGCCCCTCACTCTCTCCCTCTCCTTTTCTCACGTCGACAGCCTGGCGAGACCAAGCAGGTGGTGCTGGTGGCGATGAGGGGCAAGAAGAGGCCGATCCAAGGTTGGATTGCAACACTGTTATATTGCCATGCCACTTGGTTTGGATCACCCTTCCCTTCCTCTCCTTTCCGTTATCTCTTTCCATCCCTTTCAACTCCTTCCATCTGCAGCCTGGCGAGACAAAGCAGGTGGTGCTGGTGGCGATGGGGGGCAAGAAAGTGATCCAGGGCGGCAACGGGATAGCGAGTGGAGCAGTGGACGAGAGCAGGGCGGCCGAGGTGGCTGCTAAGGCTGTGGCCATGGGATTCGGACATGTGCCAGAGGCCAATGCACTGTGAGTAAATTGGTGGTGATGGTGGTGGTGTTGCTGCTGCTGGTGGTGCTGGTGGTGGCTTAGGCACCTGGCTGCTAAAGCTGTGGCCATGGGATGAGAACGCAGTGTGAGGTCCTCTTCCCTCCTTCACTCCTCTTTTCGCTCTCCTCTCTGATGAACAAAGACCTTTTGCAATGGTTTCAATCTCTCAGAACCTCTCCAACCCCCCCCGTCCTCCCTCACGTTGTCTACCCAGCAAGGGGGTGGTTGGGACGGATGAGGCCCTCACAGTGAGAGTGGAGAGGGAGCGATACGCCGATGTGTTTGGCCCCACAGTGGGGGACAGAATGAGGCTTGGTTTTAAGGCGCATCAACAATAAAGATAGGAGTTTCAACCCTCTTCATTCTTTCTCTTCCCTTTCCTCCTTCCCTCACGTTGTCTACCCAGCAAGGGGGTTGTGGGAACGGACGAGGCTCTGACAGTGAGAGTGGAGAGGGAGTGGTATGCAGACGTGTTTGGCCCCACGGTGGGGGACAGAGTGCGGCTTGTTCAAGCTTTCTCAACAATAGGGAGAGGAGAGTCTTAACCCTCCTCACTCTTGCTTTCCCCCTTCCTTCCTCCCTCATCTCTTCTACCCAGCAAGGGCGCCGTGGGAACGGACGAGGCCCTGACAGTGCGAGTGGAGCGAGAGCGATATGCAGACGTGTTTGGCCCCACAGTGGGGGACAGGGTGCGGCTGGGAGACACAGCGCTGGTGGTGGAGGTGGAAAAGGATTTTACAGTGCTGGGCGATGAGTGCAAGTTCGGAGGGGGGAAGGTGCTGCGGGAAGGCATGGGGCAGGTGAGACCTGGGGTGGGTGAAACCTGGGGCAGGTGTGTTTGGCCCTACAGTGGGTGGGGGACACAGCGCTGGTGGTGGAGGTGGAGAGGGATTTCACTGTGCTGGGCGATGAGTGCAAGTTCGGAGGGGGGAAGGTGCTGCGGGAAGGCATGGGGCAGGTGAGACCTGGGGCAGAAGGGCACTGGGGCAGGGGGGGAATGGGTTAGAGGAAAGCTGGGGCAGGTGGGGCCTGGGGTGCTTCGAGACTTCACAGTGCTGGCGATGAATGCAAGTTCGGAGGGGGGAAGGTGGTAAGAGAAGGCATGGGGCAGGTGAGAGAGACCTCGGGGGGGGGGGGGGGGGGATTGGGGTGGGAAGAGCTGGGGCAGGGGGAACGGGGTAGTGGGGGACTGGGGCTGGGGCGGATGAGGAGTGGGGAAGGGGGCGTTTGAGGTGGGGAGAGCTGGGGCAGCGGGGGATATGAACGCCTGAGCTCTGGACTTCCCATGTCCTCACCCTCCTCCTTGCTCTATCCGTAGGTTCAAAAATACGGTCGTATTTTTGAAATTGCTCTACGATTTCTCACAGGAGCCTATTATAAGAAACCGTATAAAACGGTAACATTTCAAAAATACGACCGTAATTTTGATCCATATATATGCTTGCCCTTGATGTGCCTTTCCCCGTCTTGCCTCTCCCTTGACCTCTCCTCTCGTTTCCACTCCCTCTCCTTGCTTCCAGGCAACGGGAGTGAAGGCAGAGGACGCCCTGGACGTGATAATAACGAATGCGCTTATAGTGGATCACTGGGGCATTGTGAAAGCGGACGTGGGCATCAAGGGCACGCGCATCGCTGCCATTGGGAAGGGCGGCAACCCGGATGTGATGGATGGGGTGGACGAGAATATGGTGGTGGGGGTGAGTCTCTTCTTGGCCTATATAATAAGCCACATGCTACCCGTCGCCTGGTGCGTAGCCTTGTTCATGGTTATCAAGGGCAATTGCAAGGGCGGTAACCCGGATGTGATGGATGGGGTGGACGAGAATATGGTGGTGGGGGTGAGTATTCTGGCCCATAAGCCACCTGCTAGCTTCCCCTTGTATGTAGGCTTACACATGGGCATCAAGGGCATTGGCAAGGGCGGCAACCCAGACGTGATGGATGGGGTGGACGAGAATATGGTGGTGGGGGTGAGTATTCTGGCCCATAAGCCACCTGCTAGCTTCCCCTTGTATGTAGGCTTACACATGGGCATCAAGGGCATTGGCAAGGGCGGCAACCCAGACGTGATGGATGGGGTGGACGAGAATATGGTGGTGGGGGTGAGTATTCTGGCCCATAAGCCACCTGCTAGCTTCCCCTTGTATGTAGGCTTACACATGGTTATCAAGGGCAATTGCAAGGGCGGTAACCCGGATGTGATGGATGGGGTGGACGAGAATATGGTGGTGGGGGTGAGTATTCTGGCCCATAAGCCACCTGCTAGCTTCCCCTTGTATGTAGGCTTACACATGGGCATCAAGGGCATTGGCAAGGGCGGCAACCCAGACGTGATGGATGGGGTGGACGAGAATATGGTGGTGGGGGTGAGTATTCTGGCCCATAAGCCACCTGCTAGCTTCCCCTTGTATGTAGGCTTACACATGGGCATCAAGGGCATTGGCAAGGGCGGCAACCCAGACGTGATGGATGGGGTGGACGAGAATATGGTGGTGGGGGTGAGTATTCTGGCCCATAAGCCACCTGCTAGCTTCCCCTTGTATGTAGGCTTACACATGGGCATCAAGGGCATTGGCAAGGGCGGCAACCCAGACGTGATGGATGGGGTGGACGAGAATATGGTGGTGGGGGTGAGTATTCTGGCCCATAAGCCACCTGCTAGCTTCCCCTTGTATGTAGGCTTACACATGGGCATCAAGGGCATTGGCAAGGGCGGTAACCCGGATGTGATGGATGGGGTGGACGAGAATATGGTGGTGGGGGTGAGTATTCTGGCCCATAAGCCACCTGCTAGCTTCCCCTTGTATGTAGGCTTACACATGGGCATCAAGGGCATTGGCAAGGGCGGCAACCCAGACGTGATGGATGGGGTGGACGAGAATATGATGGTGGGGGTGAGTATTCTGGCCCATAAGCCACCTGCTAGCTTCCCCTTGTATGTAGGCTTACACATGGGCATCAAGGGCATTGGCAAGGGCGGCAACCCAGACGTGATGGATGGGGTGGACGAGAATATGGTGGTGGGGGTGAGTATTCTGGCCCATAAGCCACCTGCTAGCTTCCCCTTGTATGTAGGCTTACACATGGGCATCAAGGGCATTGGCAAGGGCGGCAACCCAGACGTGATGGATGGGGTGGACGAGAATATGGTGGTGGGGGTGAGTATTCTGGCCCATAAGCCACCTGCTAGCTTCCCCTTGTATGTAGGCTTACACATGGGCATCAAGGGCATTGGCAAGGGCGGCAACCCAGACGTGATGGATGGGGTGGACGAGAATATGGTGGTGGGGGTGAGTATTCTGGCCCATAAGCCACCTGCTAGCTTCCCCTTGTATGTAGGCTTACACATGGGCATCAAGGGCATTGGCAAGGGCGGCAACCCAGACGTGATGGATGGGGTGGACGAGAATATGGTGGTGGGGGTGAGTATTCTGGCCCATAAGCCACCTGCTAGCTTCCCCTTGTATGTAGGCTTACACATGGGCATCAAGGGCATTGGCAAGGGCGGCAACCCAGACGTGATGGATGGGGTGGACGAGAATATGGTGGTGGGGGTGAGTATTCTGGCCCATAAGCCACCTGCTAGCTTCCCCTTGTATGTAGGCTTACACATGGGCATCAAGGGCATTGGCAAGGGCGGCAACCCAGACGTGATGGATGGGGTGGACGAGAATATGGTGGTGGGGGTGAGTATTCTGGCCCATAAGCCACCTGCTAGCTTCCCCTTGTATGTAGGCTTACACATGGGCATCAAGGGCATTGGCAAGGGCGGCAACCCAGACGTGATGGATGGGGTGGACGAGAATACGGTGGTGGGGGTGAGTGGTAGTAGAGGCAGTCAGTGAGCACTGGTGAGAAGTGGAAGTGCCATTGTATTGCGAATCAGCTTATAAAGCGGATGCCATGCTTGGTGATAGCAGGTGCGGGGCAAGTCTTGAGTAGGCAATTCACCCTCCCTCCCTCTCGTACCCATCCTCATGCCGTTGCTCCCGTCCCATGCAGGTGACGACAGAGGTGATAGCAGGCGAGGGGCTGATACTCACAGCAGGAGGCATCGACACTCACGTGCACTTCATCTGCCCCCAACTGGCGGACGAGGCTATCTGCAGCGGTGAGTGGTGGGTGGTGACAGGCATTGACACCCACGTGTGTTCCTGATGCCCTCAGCACAGCATTCATAGTGCTCAGGGCAGCAGGAGGCATCGACACGCACGTGCACTTCATCTGCCCTCAACTGGCGGACGAGGCCATCTGCAGTGGTGAGTGGTGGGTGGTGGGGGGGTGGGGGTGATGCGTGGTGCATCAGCAGCCGTGCGAGTGGTGGGGACAGGCCGTCGACACGCACGTGCACTTCATCTGCCTTCAACTGGCGGACGAGGCCATCTGCAGTGGTGAATATTTGGTGGTGGGTGATGCGTGCATGGTTCTCATGCTGCAGGCTACAACCACCATCAACTATGCCTTTCTCGCCCCAACTGTGCCTCTGTTTCCATGTTCTTTGCGTACAGGTCTGACCACGCTAGTGGGAGGCGGTACAGGGCCGGCACACGGCACGCTAGCCACCACATGCACTCCATCCCCCAACGCCATGGCACTCATGCTGTCACGTCCACCAGACCAGTACCACCACCACCACAGCATTATCACCTGCATCTTTCTCTTCCCTTCTCTTCCCACTGTGCATGCATGCAGGTCTGACGACGTTAGTGGGAGGAGGAACGGGGCCGGCACACGGCACGCTGGCCACCACATGCACGCCATCCCCCGACGCCATGGCACTCATGCTGCAAGCTACGGATAATATGCCGCTCAACTTTGGGTTCACAGGGAAGGTAAGTGCTGCTGTGGAAAATGGGTGGTGATGGTTACCTATCGGTGTGGTACGGTGGAAGGGTGTGTAGGCGCCTCATGCTGCACGGATAATATGCCTCTCAACTTTGGGTTCACAGGGAAGGTGGGTGGTTATATGGGCGTGAGTGAGTGTCTGTGTGTGGCTTTGCGTGCAGGTGTATGGGTGTGTCTGTGAGTGTAAGAATGCAGGATCACCTGATGCCATGGCGCTTATGCTGCAAGCCACAGAACTCATGCCACAACTTCAGGTTGATTGGTTTTTTTATATCATATAAGGCGAGTGATTGTATCAGTGTGAGTGAGCGTGTGTCTGTGAGTGGGGATGGGTGTGGGTGAGGGGGGTTGTCTCTGTGTGTGTGAAGAGAACTTCAAGCCTCCTCCTCAACACCCGCTCCTTTTTCCTCACTCTGCAGGGTAACACATCTAGCCCTGAGGGTATGACAGACATCATCAAAGCGGGAGCAATCGGGTTGAAGCTGGGGCAAAGAAGGATTGGGGATTGGGGTACCACCCCCGCCGCAGCCATTGACACGGGCCTGGGCGTGGCAGAGGAGTATGATGTGTGTGTAGAGAGACTTGTTTTCTATGCCAACACCTGTTCCCCTCTCCCCACTCCTCAGGGCAACACGTCCAGCCCCGAGGGCTGTTGGATATCATCAAAGCGGGAGCCATCGGGTTAAAACTGCACAAGGACCGGGGCACCACCCCTGCAGTACACATATATCAATCAGCCTCGTCTCTCCCCCACCCCTTCAGGGCAACACGTCCAGCCGCGAGGGCCTCTTGGACATCATTAAAGCGGGAGCCATCGGGTTGAAACTGCATGAGGACTGGGGCACCACGCCTGCAGCCATTGACACGTGCCTGAGTGTGGCGGAGCAGCATGACGTGCAGGTGACGACGATAACAGCACCTCTCCCTCCCCTTTCCCACCACCCCAGGGCAACACGTCCAGCCCCGAGGGCCTCTTGGACATCATCAAAGCGGGAGCAATTGGGTTGAAACTGCATGAGGACTGGGGCACCACGCCTGCAGCCATTGACACGTGCCTGAGTGTGGCGGAGCAGCATGACGTGCAGGTGACGATTCACACGGACACTCTCAACGAGTCAGCGTGTGTGGAGCAGACCATTGCTGCCTTCAAGAACCGCACCATCCACACCTACCACAGGTGAGGAGGGATGGGGTGGGAGAGAGGGGGAGGGGGGAGTGGGACAGTTTGACATTCTGGCCTTTATCTTCTTCAACACTCTTTCCTTTATATCTTCTCTCCTTTTGGGCTGCCTCTACCTCGCAGTGAGGGAGCAGGGAGCGGGCATGCACCCAACATCATCCGCATCTGTGGGGAGAGGAACGTGTGTAGCTTACCTCCCTCCTCCTCCTCCTCCTACCTTCCTTCCCTCAACCTTCCTTCCCTCAGCCTTCCTTCCTCCCTCCCATTCTGCTGCGTTTGCCTATCCACTGCAGTGAGGGAGCAGGCGGGGGACATGCACCGGACATCATCAGCATCTGTGGGGAGAGCAATGTGCTGCCTTCTTCCACCAATCCCACTCGCCCTTTCACCACCAACACCATTGACGAGCATCTGGATATGCTGGTATGCACTTTGTTATTATAACGGGGATGTGGGTCACTTCATAACAAGTATATCAATAGGGGTATGCCGCCCTCCTCCACCGCCCCTTCACCACCAACACCATCTAGGAACACCTCGACATGCTGATATGCGTGCTTGCAGTGACTATAACGAGAGTCTTCTGTAGTACCTAGGTACGTACTGCCCTCCTCCACCAGCCCCACTCGCCCCTTCACCACCAACACCATCGACGAACACCTCGACATGCTGGTGGGTGCCTTGAATTCTAACGAGGACGTACCGTAACGCCTGTGCTCTGCTCCCTCCCCCAGATGGTGTGCCACCACCTTGACAGCAACAACAGGGAGGACGTGGCATTTGCCGAGTCCCGCATTCCCCTTCAATTCCCCCTCATTTCCCCTCGTCCCTTTCCCCCCTCCAAACCCCCCCCCCCCTCCCCCAGATGGTGTGCCACCACCTGGACAGCAACAACAGGGAGGACGTGGCATTCGCCGAGTCGCGAATCCGGGCGGAGACCATCGCAGCAGAGGACATACTCCACGACATGGGGGCAATCAGCATGATGTCATCCGATTCCCAAGCCATGGGTCGCATAGGCGAGGTCATCACGCGCACATGGCAAACCGCGCACAAGATGAAGGTCCAGCGGGGACCTCTTAACGAGGATAAAGATTCTGAGGGGTTTGGCACCGCGCCGAATGATAATTTCCGGGTGAAGCGATACGTGGCAAAGTATACGATTAACCCGGCGATCGCGCACGGGTTTTCGCACGTGGTGGGGTCGGTGGAGGTGGGGAAGCTTGCGGATCTGGTGCTGTGGCGGCCGGCGTTCTTTGGCGCGAAGCCGGAGATCGTGGTGAAGGGCGGCGCGATTGCATGGGCGCAGATGGGCGATGCTAACGCCAGCATTCCAACCCCGGAGCCGGTGAGTACGCATGTTCTATATGGATGTTCGGTGTTTGTAAGGCCGGAGATCGTGGTGAAGGGCGGCGCGATCGCGTGGGCGCAAATGGGCGATGCTAATGCCAGCATTCCCACTCCGGAGCCAGTGAGTGTGCCTGTCTCAGATGGATGTTCGGTGAGTGCTTGTTTCATATGTGAGTTTCGGTGTTTGCGAAGCCGGAGATTGTGGTGAAGGGGGGAGCGATGAGTGTGCCTGATTCAAGTGTAAGTTCGGTGCAAAGACGGAGATCGTGGTGAAGGGCGGGGCGATCGCGTGGGCGCAGATAGGGGATGCCAATGCCAACATTCCAACTCCTGAACCGGTGAGTGCGCCTTTCCTACAAGTTTGGTGTTTGAGAAGGCAGAGATTGTGGTGAAGGGAGGAGCGATTGCCAATGCCAGCATTCCAACCCCGGAGCCGGTGAGTGTTGGATGAGCACAGATTTGACCATTAGTGGCAGCATATCCCCATCCCTAAACTAGCATTGCACGTGTGGGCGCAGATGGGTGATGCCAATGACAGCATCCCACTCTGGAGCCGGTGAGTTCTAGCTGCAGATGTATTCACAAGTTTTAGAGAATTCCAAAAAACCAGCTTGTATTCACAAGTTTTAGCACCAGATATTATCCATGCGTGCGCACGCCCAGTGATAGTTGTCCCAGAACTGGCAGACAGGCGATGCCAATGCCAGCATTCCCAATCCGGAGCATGTGAGTTTTAGCTGCAGATCATGAATCAACGCAAGAGTCATTCCAACTCACTATCACGCTCCTCCCCTCCCCACTTCCCACCCCACCTCCCCCGCATCCCACCTCCCCTCCCCGCAGGTCATCATGCGACCACAGTTTGCTGCAAGCGGCAAGGCAGTGGGTGGGCGCTGCTTGGCGTTCGTCAGCCAGGTGAGTTGTTGGGGGTGGGTGGGGTGGAGGGGTGGAGGGGTGAAGGGGTGGTGGGGTGGACGGGTGGAGGGGGTGGAGGGAGTGGAGGGGTGGGGATCAGTCCCACCTATCAGCCCCACATATCAGTCCCACCTATCAGTCCCACCTATCAGTCCCACCTATCAGTCCCACCTATCAGTCCCACCTATCAGTCTAACCTATCAATCCCACCTATCAGTCCCACCTATCAGTCCCACCTATCAGTCCCACCTATCAGTCCCACCTATCAGTCCCACATATCAGTCCCACCTATCAGTCCCACCTATCAGTCCCACCTATCAGTCCCACCTATCAGTCCCACCTATCAGTCCCACCTATCAGTCCCACCTATCACTCCCACCTACCTATCACTCCCACCTACCTATCAGTCCCACCTATCAGTCCCACCTATCAGTCCCACCTACCTATCAGTCCCACCTATCAGTCCCACCTACCTACCTATCAGTCCCACCTATCAGTCCCACCTACCTACCTATCAGTCCCACCTATCAGTCCCACCTATCAGTCCACCTATCAGTCCCACCTATCAGTCCCACCTATCAGTCCCACCTATCAGTCCCACATATCAGTCCACCTATCAGTCCCACCTATCAGTCCCACCTATTAGTCCCACCTATCAGTCCCACCTATCAGTCCCACCTATCAGTCCCACCTATCAGTCCCACCTATCAGTCCCACCTATCAGTCCCACCTATCAGTCCCACCTACCTATCAGTCCCACCTACCTATCAGTCCCACCTACCTATCAGTCCCACCTATCAGTCCCACCTACCTATCAGACCCACCTATCAGTCCCACCTATCAGTCCCACCTATCAGTCCCACCTACCTACCTATCAGTCCCACCTACCTACCTATCAGTCCCACCTACCTACCTATCAGTCCACCTACCTATCAGTCCCACCTATCAGTCCCACCTATCAGTCCACCTATCAGTCCCACCTATCAGTCCCACCTATCAGTCCCACCTATCAGTCCCACCTATCAGTCCCACCTACCTATCAGTCCCACCTATCAGTCCCACCTACCTATCAGTCCCACCTACCTATCAGTCCCACCTATCAGTCCCACCTATCAGTCCCACATATCAGTCCCACCTATCAATCCCACCTATCAGTCCCACCTATCAGTCCCACCTATCAGTCCCACCTATCAGTCCCACCTATCAGTCCACCTATCAGTCCCACCTATCAGTCCCACCTATCAGTCCCACCTATCAGTCCCACCTATCAGTCCCACCTACCTATCAGTCCCACCTATCAGTCCCACCTATCAGTCCCACGTATCAGTCCCACCTACCTATCAGTCCCACCTATCAGTCCCACCTATCAGTCCCACCTATCAGTCCCACCTATCAGTCCCACCTACCTATCAGTCCCACCTATCAGTCCCACCTATCAGTCCCACCTATCAGTCCGACCTACCTATCAGTCCCACCTATCAGTCCCACCTATCAGTCCCACATATCAGTCCTACCTATCAGTCCCACCTATCAGTCCCACCTACCTATCAGTCCCACCTACCTATCAGTCCCACCTATCAGTCCCACCTACCTATCAGTCCCACCTATCAGTCCCACCTATCAGTCCCACCTATCAGTCCCACCTATCAGTCCCACCTATCAGTCCCACATATCAGTCCCACATATCAGTCCCACCTATCAGTCCCACCTACCTATCAGTCCCACCTATCAGTCCCACCTATCAGTCCCACCTATCAGTCCCACCTACCTATCAGTCCCACCTATCAGTCCCACCTACCTATCAGTCCCACCTATCAGTCCCACCTATCAGTCCCACGTATCAGTCCCACCTACCTATCAGTCCCACCTATCAGTCCCACCTATCAGTCCCACCTATCAGTCCCACCTATCAGTCCCACCTACCTATCAGTCCCACCTATCAGTCCCACCTATCAGTCCCACATATCAGTCCTACCTATCAGTCCCACCTATCAGTCCCACCTACCTATCAGTCCCACCTACCTATCAGTCCCACCTATCAGTCCCACCTACCTATCAGTCCCACCTATCAGTCCCACCTATCAGTCCCACCTATCAGTCCCACCTATCAGTCCCACCTATCAGTCCCACATATCAGTCCCACATATCAGTCCCACCTATCAGTCCCACCTATCAGTCCCACCTATCAGTCCCACCTATCAGTCCCACCTATCAGTCCCACCTATCAGTCCCACCTATCAGTCCCACCTACCTATCAGTCCCACCTACCTATCAGTCCCACCTATCAGTCCCACGTACCTATCAGTCCCACCTATCAGTCCCACCTATCAGTCCCACCTACCTACCTATCAGTCCCACCTACCTACCTATCAGTCCCACCTATCAGTCCCACCTATCAGTCCCACGTATCAGTCCCACATATCAGTCCCACATATCAGTCCCACCTATCAGTCCCACCTATCAGTCCCACCTATCAGTCCCACCTATCAGTCCCACCTATCAGTCCCACCTATCAGTCCCACCTATCAGTCCCACCTATCAGTCCCACCTATCAGTCCCACCTATCAGTCCCACCTATCAGTCCCACCTATCAGTCCCACCTATCAGTCCCACCTATCAGTCCCACCTATCAGTCCCACCTATCAGTCCCACCTATCAGTCCCACCTATCAGTCCCACCATATCAGTCCCACCTATCAGTCCCACCTACCTATCAGTCCCACCTATCAGTCCCACCTATCAGTCCACCTATCAGTCCCACCTATCAGTCCCACCTATCAGTCCCACTTATCAGTCCCACCTATCAGTCCACCTATCAGTCCCACCTATCAGTCCCACCTATTAGTCCCACCTATCAGTCCCACCTATCAGTCCCACCTATCAGTCCCACCTATCAGTCCCACCTATCAGTCCCACCTATCAGTCCCACCTACCTATCAGTCCCACCTACCTATCAGTCCCACCTACCTATCAGTCCCACCTATCAGTCCCACCTACCTATCAGACCCACCTATCAGTCCCACCTATCAGTCCCACCTATCAGTCCCACCTACCTACCTATCAGTCCCACCTACCTACCTATCAGTCCCACCTACCTACCTATCAGTCCCACCTATCAGTCCCACCTATCAGTCCACCTATCAGTCCCACCTATCAGTCCCACCTATCAGTCCCACCTATCAGTCCCACCTATCAGTCCCACCTACCTATCAGTCCCACCTATCAGTCCCACCTACCTATCAGTCCCACCTACCTATCAGTCCCACCTATCAGTCCCACCTATCAGTCCCACATATCAGTCCCACCTATCAATCCCACCTATCAGTCCCACCTATCAGTCCCACCTATCAGTCCCACCTATCAGTCCCACCTATCAGTCCACCTATCAGTCCCACCTATCAGTCCCACCTATCAGTCCCACCTATCAGTCCCACCTACCTATCAGTCCCACCTATCAGTCCCACCTATCAGTCCCACGTATCAGTCCCACCTACCTATCAGTCCCACCTATCAGTCCCACCTATCAGTCCCACCTATCAGTCCCACCTATCAGTCCCACCTACCTATCAGTCCCACCTATCAGTCCCACCTATCAGTCCCACCTATCAGTCCGACCTACCTATCAGTCCCACCTATCAGTCCCACCTATCAGTCCCACATATCAGTCCTACCTATCAGTCCCACCTATCAGTCCCACCTACCTATCAGTCCCACCTACCTATCAGTCCCACCTATCAGTCCCACCTACCTATCAGTCCCACCTATCAGTCCCACCTATCAGTCCCACCTATCAGTCCCACCTATCAGTCCCACCTATCAGTCCCACATATCAGTCCCACATATCAGTCCCACCTATCAGTCCCACCTACCTATCAGTCCCACCTATCAGTCCCACCTATCAGTCCCACCTATCAGTCCCACCTACCTATCAGTCCCACCTATCAGTCCCACCTACCTATCAGTCCCACCTATCAGTCCCACCTATCAGTCCCACGTATCAGTCCCACCTACCTATCAGTCCCACCTATCAGTCCCACCTATCAGTCCCACCTATCAGTCCCACCTATCAGTCCCACCTACCTATCAGTCCCACCTATCAGTCCCACCTATCAGTCCCACATATCAGTCCTACCTATCAGTCCCACCTATCAGTCCCACCTACCTATCAGTCCCACCTACCTATCAGTCCCACCTATCAGTCCCACCTACCTATCAGTCCCACCTATCAGTCCCACCTATCAGTCCCACCTATCAGTCCCACCTATCAGTCCCACCTATCAGTCCCACATATCAGTCCCACATATCAGTCCCACCTATCAGTCCCACCTATCAGTCCCACCTATCAGTCCCACCTATCAGTCCCACCTATCAGTCCCACCTATCAGTCCCACCTATCAGTCCCACTATCAGTCCCACCTACCTATCAGTCCCACCTACCTATCAGTCCCACCTATCAGTCCCACGTACCTATCAGTCCCACCTATCAGTCCCACCTATCAGTCCCACCTACCTACCTATCAGTCCCACCTACCTACCTATCAGTCCCACCTATCAGTCCCACCTATCAGTCCCACGTATCAGTCCCACATATCAGTCCCACATATCAGTCCCACATATCAGTCCCACGTACCTATCAGTCCCACCTATCAGTCCCACCTATCAGTCCCACCTACCTACCTATCAGTCCCACCTACCTACCTATCAGTCCCACCTATCAGTCCCACCTATCAGTCCCACCTATCAGTCCCACCTATCAGTCCCACCTATCAGTCCCACCTATCAGTCCCACCTATCAGTCCCACCTATCAGTCCCACCTATCAGTCCCACCTATCAGTCCCACCTATCAGTCCCACCTATCAGTCCCACCTATCAGTCCCACCTATCAGTCCCACCTATCAGTCCCACCTATCAGTCCCACCTATCAGTCCCACCTATCAGTCCCACCTATCAGTCCCACATATCAGTCCCACCTATCAATCCCACCTATCAGTCCCACCTATCAGTCCCACCATATCAGTCCCACCTATCAGTCCCACCTACCTATCAGTCCCACCTATCAGTCCCACCTATCAGTCCCACCTATCAGTCCCACCTACCTATCAGTCCCACCTATCAGTCCCACCTATCAGTCCCACCTATCAGTCCCACCTATCAGTCCCACCTATCAGTCCCACCTACCTATCAGTCCCACCTATC